TCGCGCAACATGATCAAAGCATAGCGACTGGCACTTCATGAGGACAATCCTCTGCCGCGAAGTAATTGAAATAAAATGAATGCGATTAACAGCACCGATGATTAAAAATTACACTGTTTAAAAAAAACTCCTGCACAACAGGTTTATTTTTTTTGTATCGATGCATGATAAAGACACATTTGCCAATGGCGTACAGTCTCACTCCATTGTTTGCCGCACAGCTGCGCTTCAGTGCAGATAGCCTCGTCTCAAGTCGAATCCCCGAATTCTGATTGCAGAAAAATAACAACCACCAGTCACGTGCAGCTACTGCTCAAATTGCGTACAGACTGAATGGCTAATCGGACCCGCGGAACGAGTTTGATCTCTCTCGACGATTGCATTGAGTCGTGGTTGTTTGATTAATCACTGTCCCAACTCCAGCACCCAGGGAGAAGTGGCAGAGCGCTTGAGTAGAAGTCGTCTGTCTCTCTGTAACAAAACGTGCAACACAATCAAGTGGACTCCATCAATAGCGGTCGTTCTCTATCCACTGCTGAATGATCTCAAGTACAAGGTAAGTAGCGCGGAAGGAGAGAATCGTGACTGCACAGGGCCCAGGCAGCGTCAAGTTGCCACTTGTTCTGGTATTCCCACGATTGTCCCGTTTTTTGAGGTCGCTAATATCATGGGAAATCGGGACAATGAGCGTCCACTTTTGTCAGTTGTGTCATGACACACACCACCCAAGACGATACATTTACCTGAGCTCCTTGCCTGTCAGTCTTGAGACAGGTTTGTTCTCGTGACGCGTCCGGCGTTTTTTTGTACCTCGGAATGTGACAATCCTCCAGCATCCCCAATGTTTAGTTAATTTACAATGAGAATAGGTTTTCACAATTTTTCCGGCAACAAAACAGGTGTTAAGATGTTAAGACACCAAACTGAAACCTTGTACAAGGAATCATGTCTGCATTAACCACAATACGTGTGGTCAGAATGCAAACAAAAAACATACTCTTATAATCAATGCATTGTCTTTGAAACTGATTGGTCCACACCAGAGACAGCTTTCTTTGAAGCCTAGTCTCAAAAGGTGTTAGACCAGAGGACGCCAAAAGGCGTACAGCACAAAGACATTAATTTACAATGATAATCGATCCATTCTACACAAACAGCATTGCAGGTTTTGATTTAAAGCTTTCGTGACTGCAGGGATTCATCTTCTTGGTACCGAAAGAACCAAGAAGAGCATTGCAGGTCTCGTATCACTCCATTCTAGGACGAGTATTAGGGTTGCCTTTAAGAAGAAGAGAATTGGGGATTGTGGCGATGATATATTATGATAAAATCCAAAGTTTGATGCGGAATCATTGACGGTTGACATTATTATTATCGGGGGAGCTGCGGTGGTGAGATGTTAACTACCTCGCCTGGTATGAAGGAGGGCGTGGATTCGATCCCGACCCTGACGCCTGCTGTATGTTTGGAGTTTGTGTGTTCTCCCCGGGATCGCGTGGATTTTTCTCCGGGTCCTTCGATTTTTCCCTCCACATTTAGAATCAACATCACGCATTTTAGAGTATTTGGCTGCAATAAATTTCTACGTGATAAGCCACTTCGTTGAGCTATCATTTGTGGCCAGGTCGCTTCTGAAAAAGAGCTATATTGTTCAAGTGGGCCTTGCCTGGCAAAATAAAAAATAGCTTAGTTTATTTGAAGAGATCCTGAGGCGTTTTGGTGCTGCCCTCAAACTTGAACTCTTTCTGGGAATGCATTAAATCCTCCGTGATCGGCGCTGGCAAGTGAAGTTGATGGCCTTCGTGAAAGTTGGTGAAGGTTTGCATCAACAACAAAAATGAAAGGCGAAGAAACGATGTGAGATTCATAGGAATTTTTGTAAGTCGTAAATTAGCGAATACAAAAAAAGTGAATGGAAACAACGGGTGGCTACGCATTGGAAACTGCATTTTATTGCTCATTCCCCCCTTGAATAAATTTCAGAATGCGATTTTATACGAATAAATGATTAAACAAGTATAACCAAGTCAACAGTGATCAAACATCCAAAGTGTGGAGTCTAGCGCGTTGCTGGAACGCTCTATTGAGATGGGAAACATTTAGATCTTTGGCTCCATCTTCTTCGTCTTTCGTGCGGCTCATGTCGATGCAGAGCAGCAAACTACAATTTCACATTGAGGTGGTGACGCCAGATAACTGCGTCAGAAGCAGCGGAGTGTATCTCTGTCATGTCTACACTGTATCGCTGTAATATCAACACTGCTCCTGACGCCTACATTTGGCTCCGTCATGAGGCTTCGATTATGCTAACGGTCATCCTTCACACGTGCTACGCTTGCACAACCGATGTGACGTTTGCCGCACGCCGATGATTTGGGGAATGTATAACCTTCTCCCGAATACGTCTGCTCCTCCAGGAACTATTACTACGGTGATCAGCAGACACTCGCAGGGTTGCAAGATCGCGTCCCAGCCAAGGGTCTACTTGCTCCAGCACCCTTGTGTGACAGGGTTTCCACCTCTCAGTTAACAAAACTCACCGGGTCATATTACAGGAAGGTGAGTATCTCAGTTTCCACGAGAGGGAATAACCTCTTATAACCGCGTTGTCTTGAGTTTCGCGGTCTTTTACACAATGGACACAAGTCAGGATTTGTTTTACGTGCTGGGAAGACTTACAGTGTTCCTCGCAAAGAGACATTGCCTGGGAAAATCAGGACAGGTAGCAAGCCTATATTTCACGGTCATATTTGTGGTAAAAATAACAATGATGTGCAGAAGTTGATAATGATTACGCTGCGGAGAGAGATGGGAACCTGTTATAGGAATGTAGAAATCGTAGCATTTTGAGACGAGCACCGCCCCATGCCCATTCGAGTACAGGGACACTTGGACCACGTGGCTGGATGATGGACGTGTTCGCAACGCACTTCATTCGTATGTGTATGTATGGTGAACCTCTTTCGCACCGTACGTAGGCAAACCGCGCTAAACGGAGGTGCGTCGGAAGAACATCAAAGTAAACACAAAATGCAGTTCCAAAGAAATGAGTTTTCAATCTAGATTTAAAAGGGCTTTCTAATGCCGGAAGGAAGAGTGCTCCAGACGGGCGCAGAAGCGCATCTGAAAGCACGCCATGCGGTGACCGCGTTTGTTCGATGGCCAGCCAAAAGCCGGCTGCTGTTAGGATAACCGGAGTATGCGTGATGACCATTCATGCTCCTGGACGAGATCATCAGCAAGGTATCGTGTGATTCGTTTGTGGAAATCACTTTGTGCGTACTGAAGTGAGACTTAATTTGGGCTTAAAGAGTCCTTTCCTCCTGACGCATCTACGCGCCTCGAAATCCCTTTGTTGGGGGCGAGGCTTCGTGCAACAATTCCCATCGCGAAACACTTCATGCAGCGGCGGTCTCCGATGCGCTTTAACCGTCAGTCTGATTCAACTTTTTTATTGGAATGGAAATGTGATTGATGCGCGCGTCTAAAGGGCAAGAGACCGCAAGTGCTGGGCCAACGGCAGTGACATCAGTGTTGTTATCGTCTCTGGTGTGCGTGGACCTGACCGTTTGATTGATAATGAGAATTTGCCGTGCTTTCCCCCCCCCCCCCTCCATATTGTTTTCATATGTACACTTCATCCGGGGCCATGCACGCTGCACAGTACCGACTTTCATCGCAGCGTGCGCGTATCCTGGAATGTGTGCCGCTTGAGCAAATGTAGTGGAAAAAAAAATGTTAAAGGCTCAGCCCTGTGATTGCTCGCTCACACCACTGCTGGCGGAAGGGCCTCCACTCGACAGAGCTCTGGAGAGGCCCCATCTAGATGGTACATTGGTCTACTCTTCCACGTTGGCCAGACGTCTTGGTCAGAAATCTGAATATGTATGTAGACTGGAAGAATCCGATGAGCTATGAAGCTCTTTTTCACAGACGTCCAATAGGTTCATGGAAGAAGTGGGAGTACCCAAACTTTACCCCACCACACGTCTCCATTGAAAACTAATTTCTTTAGAACTGCTTTCTATGTGTTTAGTTTGTTGTCCATCCCCTGCACCTCCGATTTGCGCGGTTGGCTACGTACGGTGCGAAAGAAGTCCAAGATACACACATACATACGCGACTTGCCGAGCGATTTACCGTGGTGAACCTGTCTGTACCGCTGGGCGGGGGGGGGGGGATTTAATAAATGGGGGCCCCATGGTAGCAACCGCTACACTGGGAGATGGAATAAGCGACCTCTGGATTGCAAGTCGAGTGTGTGAACCGCTACACCGATAAAACAAAGACGGTTGGAGTACATCGGTGTGCGGGGGTTTGTTCAGTGAAAGGAAGTAACATTGAATCCATCACTGAATGGGCCCTCCAATGTCATGTATTAAATGGGCTTTCATTTTAGTGGCTGAACAACCCCCAATCACCTGTTTCGTTATGTTACGTGCCGTGTGTGTGTGTAGTGATGTTAAATAGATCCCTACGGCGCGTAGTGGCCAGTGCCGTAGAAACGGGCACAGAGGCTCACACACCGTGCAGTACCACTCAGTGGCCACTAGGGGCATGGTACTGGGTGCGAGCAGGAGGAAGCCAGATGAGTCCTACCGACAGAGTAGGGGATTGCAGCCACCACCAGCGCCGCAGGGAATCACCACAGAGTCGGTCACTGGGGGAGTGTGGTGGGGGCAGCTGGCGGTAGGGGGGGGGGCATGTGGAGATGAGTCACCCCGGCACCGGGTTAAGCACGTGATGGGCAGGGGTGAGTAATGTGGGCCAAGGGTGAACGAGGGGACACGGGAAGAGTAGCTGAGAAACGTCTGGAGAATTATCGAAGGGGGCGTGTTTAAGGGCAGAGCCAGAGAGGGAACAGGTGTCGCGTAGCCTGGAACCGTCTGGAATATTCCAGAGGTAGGCGCGGCCGTGGGTGGAGCCAGGCCGCGCTGAGAAGGATAAAAGGGAGCTCCGATCACGTATTGGGGCTGTCTGCAGGTGAAGAGGAACTCAAGTGCTACGTGGGTCAGACAGCACGTTGGCTGCTCTGACCCAGTTATAGTTATCCCGTATGCGAGAGGAATAGGTGTATTACGGTCGCGTGTGTAACAAGTGTGAGAGATAGGTGTATCTAGTCCCGTGAGTAACGGTGTTACCTAAATGTAAACTAAATGTTGTTGCCTCCTAAATAGTGTCTCTGAATGACTCACTACATGTGTAAGAAGTGGGGAGCGGTGGAGTAGCGGTTAGCACGCTGCGCTACGAACCCAGCGACCCAAGTTCGATTCCTGCTCACAGATAACACCAGTGACGATTATCTGAACCGGTCCCAGTCCTGGGCCTCCCCTAGGTCGACTCGGCCTCAAATGGGTACTTGGTGCGGTGTGTAAAAAAGCATCGCCACTGGGGAGACTGGTGAGGCGTGGTGCTGGCCACCCACCGCCTCATGTACCGTGCCGGCCTTCGTAAGTGCTCGCTAACAGAACTTGCCTCAACAGTCTGTTAAGGTTATACGGGAGACCTTTGTAATTTTGTTTTTGTAAGATGTGTAATATTGTAAGATACCGTATATCAACACGACTTCAGAAATCATACAGTTTTAACAGGATTATTGGAAAAAACAGAATGAAAATTTTCCCGCCAAAATGTATGTATATATTTTTTGCATCTTCCGCTATAAAAAAAAATTTAGTTGGAACAGAGACGTGTTACATCAATACACGGGGAATACAAACATTTCAGAATGTTCGTGTTAATATAACTCGAAGTCAAGTGGCATCTCCACGCAGAAACAATCAGCAATAAATGCGGTGATCCCCATTGCCTTCGTGTATTTGATCCGGGAGACGCTTTAACTGTTGTCATTGTTTGAACTCCACGAAGGCTTGCGTGGCATTGTGGGTACTGCTCATGATCAATTACGGACACCTTCTACCCCTAACAGCGCACGAGTCGCCGTGCTTTAAAGCAGCCCGTGACGCTTCAAGAGATGAGCAACGGCTCAGATCCGTGCATTCCACTCTGCATAGGTGATCGCTAACAGCACTTGCCCCCAAAATGTCTGTTAAGGCTATCCGGGGGAATCTTTGTCTTTGTCCCCCCCCCACCCCCCACTGCATATGTTTCTCTATTCTCTTTGGGTCATGTCGAGCGTGCATATTTCCTTGCTTCCACTGCGTGGCTTTACGTTTTTTTTCTGTTCTATTTGTTTTGCCAGTGACCGTGCATATGGGGCCCATGGTTGAGAGTCCGTTCTCTCGAGGCTATCAAAGCATTTCAGTAATTCTGAACCTAACATTGCGAACAATCCATGTCCCTAGCCATGCATTTACAGGGCCTTGGACGCTTCGAATCCCCCTCTCTTGAACTCCAGAGCGCAGTCGCATCCACGGAATGCATTAGGCCACGTTGCGGGCTAATGGCTCTTCTTCACGGCAGGATTAGCACGGTTGACTACGTATGGTGCAAAATAGCTTTAACCTACATACAAAATGCTTGACGCGGTGTCAAGCGAAGTGTCACGTGCAAAGTTTTTTGATTTATTCGTGAGAATTGTTCTTCAACTTACCGTTGAGACAGAACAATAAATGGCGTTGTTAGACACTTCGACTTTGTCATAATTTAATTTGTTCGGCTACGTCGCATGGTAAAGGGTATCACAACAAAATATTGGCCAGGTCATTACATGGCATCACCCAAAAGGTCCCCCATATAGCCTTTAACAGACTATTGGGGCAAGTGCTGTGAGCGAGCACCCATGTGTGAGCGAGCACCTATGAAGGACGGAACGGTAAACGAGGGGGTGGGTGGCCAGCACGACGCCCGACCGCCTTTGTCTCCCCAGTGCTAGCGATGTTTACTACACACCACCGCACCGGGTTCTCATTTTATGCTGAGTCGACCTAGGGGGGTTGGGCCCAGGTCTGGTTCAAGTAAACGTCACTGCTATTGGCCGTGAGCGAGAATCGAACTCGGGTCGCGGGTTCGTCACAGCAGTGTGCCAATCCCCAGCAGGCACACGCACAGGCTCCCAGCGCACCTTTTAAATCTGTTCAATGAACAGTCCACTTTTGTGAATGAACGCAGGATTTCCCTTCGCAATTAGACCCACTGCAGCTTCACCCCGGTGATTTATATTCCCTCTGACGATCGCCATGCGTTCCGAGTGGACCGGCTGCCCTGAGTGAGCTCAGCGCGCGCCACGCAATCCGCCGTCGCACTAAGAGGACCGCATTTGTAATTGAGGATGTGAAATTATGTAATCGAGACTTGCCCCACCCCCCGGCTAAAATGTAAATAATGAAAGATGTAAATATAGCTTAAGCAATAAATTTTTTTTCTTTTAATTTCATTATTGTTTGCTTGTGTGCTTTCCGGCCCGGCCTGCGACGTGACAGCGGCGTGCTCCGCTGGGCAGGGCACGAGGCTGCGAGATTGAATCGCAGCCGGGGGTCGACTCCAAGCCGCCAGCATCCCTTCCAGGGTCAAAAAAACGCACGAGGGACGCTCCAGGAGCAGCCCTGCAATTGTCCGCTCACGCTACTGCTGCTGGAAGAAAAGAAAGCGACTTATCTTGGAGCTCCCTCTCGAGGGTATGTTTGCGCCGTGGTGGCGAGATGTTAACTACCTCGCCTGGTGTACAGAATGGTCGTGGGTTCGATCGCGACCTTGACGCCTGTATATTTGTAGTTTCCATATTCTCCCCATGGTCGAGGGGATTTTTCTCCGGGTCCTCCGGTTTTTCCCTCCACATTTTGAAAAACGCCTTGCGAGTACTAGCGGGAAGTACCTGGCGTTGCCCCGGCGAAAAAGATACACACACACATCGACTTACACACACACAGACATCGACTTTATACACACAACAACAACAACCGCCATTCGCCACTAAGTGGCGGTGACGTCACCACAACGCTTGTTTCAGGCCATGTGCGCCTTGAGGCCACACACACACACACATGGACTGACACACACATGGACTTACATCGACGTACACACGCATCGACTTACACACACGCACATGGACCCACACACATACACATCGACTTACACACACATATCGACTCGCACACATCGACTCACACACACAAATTGACTCACACACACAGACACATCGACTTACACACATCAACGCAGACACGCGCATCGACTGACACGCACACTTGGACTTAGACACAGAAATTATTTTAAAATGTACAAACTTCATTTTGAAATATTAGTTGTCTACACACACCACGCACACACTGACTAACACACACATCGACTGACACACACATATATCGACTCGCGCACACACACATCGACTTGCACACACACACATCGACATACACATATCGATGCACATACAAACACATTGACTTACACACACACATATCGACTAACACACACATATGGACTCACACACACATCGACGTATACACACACAGCGACTGACACACAGACTCACACACGCACATAGAGCCACACACACACATCGACTCACACACACACATGGACTGACACGCACACATCGATGTACACACACATCGACCCACACACACAAACGTCGACTTGCACACATCGACTAACACACACCCACATGGACTTACCCACACACATCGACTCACACACATATGGACTTACACACACAGATCGACTCAGACACACACACACACATACATCCACTCACACACATATCGACCTACACACACACATATGGACTTACACACACACACATCGACTCACAACAACAACAACAACCGCCATTCGCCACTAAGTGGCGGTGACATCACCACGACGCTTGTGCCAGGCCATGTGCACCTTGAGGCCACGTGAACTGTCGAACGCCCGCTGGTAGGAGGTCACGGGGCAGACCCAGGTGCCACGGGTTGACTGACTGAGATGACTGGCTGATGCACCACCTGTGCCCCCTACTGTGCCAACTTGCTGTGCTTTAGCCACCCGGCACTCCGCTCGTTGTTGTGAGCGTCGCTCCTCCGCCCTCCGTTGTTGTTGGAGGGCAACGGCCTCCAACTGCCCAGTAGCGTCCTTCACGAGCCTCCTCCACTGAGGCCGATCTTGACACCGCTGGTACCAGTCATCGGAAAGTCCACTCAGCTCCACGTCCTCCTGTACCACATCACTCCATCTCTTCTCTAGCCTGTGCTGCGCTCGTTTAGCCCCATCGATCCGGCTGAACAAAAGCTGTTTAGGCATGTGGTGGCTGGGCATGCGGGCTACATGACCCAGTCAACGCAGCCTTGCCAACCGGAGGAGCTCACCGATGGGACTTTGCCCAGATCTTTCAAGGATTTGTGAGCTCCTCACACAATCCAGCCTGGTTAAACCCAGGATGGTTCGTAGGCAGGCCAGCCTAAATGTTTCTAACCGGTGAAGATGCTCCACCAGGGGGTCCACGTTTTGCAAGCATAGAGAAGGGAGGTTAAAACCGTGGCCGAGAAAACTCGAAGCTTCGTGCGGAGTGACAGACCAGGTAGCTTCCACACAGCGATACAAAAGATAATGCTGCTCGACTGATTCGGAGTGAGACCTCCGCTGCCAAACCAGAGCTGGTCATGAGCACACTGCCCAGGTATGGAAAACTCTCCACTCTCTCCACAACCGCCCCATCACTGCCTGGGAGTTGTGGGGGTGGAGCGTCCGATGGCACAAAATACCCAGGCAGGTGCTTAGTTTTGGTGGGGCTGATGGTAAGGCCCCACCTCTTAGTGGCACACTCCAGTTTCAGCAGAAGTGTCTCTAACTCCTCCTTTGAATGAGCAGCAATTACCAAATCATAAATAACGTGGTTGACCAATAGGGAGCCATCCCTTTACCGCACCCGGGCATCGATCAGCCTCCCATTATATCTGTACCAAATGGAAATTCCCCCGGTACAGCTATTGAAGGCTTCACGAACTACGTGGTCAAAATAGATGTTAAATAATGTGGGAGCCAGAGGACATCCCTGTCTCACCCCAAGGTGTACAGGGAATGGCTCTGACTCCCAGCAACATAGTTTTACCTGGGCCCGCTCACCATCATGAAGGTCCTTAATGATCATGAGCAGAGGGTCAGGGACTCCGAAAGCACGAAGAACAATCCAGAGCCCAGGCCTACTGATGGTATCATAGGCCTTGACCAGGTCAATACACACACACATCGACCTACACACACACATTGACTTACACACACATGGACTTACACACACATATAAATGCACACACACACTTGGACTTACACACAAACACATGGACTTACACACACATCGACTCACACACACATGGACTTACACACACAAATCGACTCCCACACACACACATCGACTCACACACACACATCGACTCACACACCAACACATCGACTTACACAAACACACATCGACGCAGACACGCACATCGACTCACACGCACACATGGACTTAGACACACACATTATTATTTTAGTATTTCCAAATTGATTTTGTTAATATTCGTTTTCTATCTACGTGAGTTTAGCGAAAGAAGCAAGAAAATAGTACTTATTTAACATTGCCATGGTGAGGCCTAGTCCCGTGCAGAGCCCCCAGCCTCGCCTAGATTGCACAGCCGGCCGAGGTGGCACCTTGGCAGGCTGGGGCTGAGCTGCTACCCTCACCCTCCACCCACCATCCCCCCGGCCACTCTGCAAAAATAGTATCTAAGCGCTATAATATTAGTATCTACCGACCATATCGGAGTAAGTGCACATATTGGGATGGGGGTGGGGGAGAAGAGGACATGACACTTTGAAAAATTTACCCTCAGGGTTGTGTGTTTTTTGTGTGCATTTTTAACGCGAAAGAGAAATTCCCCCCCTCCCCAACGAAGGCGTGTGCGTTGCTAGGGGCAACCCCGGTCAGCTTTGACGCATGTGAGCAGCGACGTAAGGAAATACATAAATAATAAGAAATAGCACAAAATAGTTAATTTAACTACTTTAAATTTGTCGGATGGAAAAATGGAATAGCGCTGGCTCACCACGTGGCTTATGGCGTGGTACCTGATTACTTTTTTTTAAACATAAACCCCACGGTTTGCGAGCCAAATCCTTCGCAAGTTTCGTCCACACACAGAGAGACACACAGACAGACAGACGGACATATAGACAAAAAAAATGCCTTTTATAGGTAATAAGAAGATTTGGTTGCTATAAATGTACACATGATGATAAGCCGCTTCGTTGAGCTATCATTTGTGGCCAAGTCGCTTCTAAAAAAGAGCGATATAGCTCAGTGGGCATTGACTTGGTAAAATAAAAATAGTTTAGTTTTGTATTAGACCCTGTCTTCCACGCTGGCCAGACATCTGATCAAAGATGATCGTGACCTTGCAAAAGTGCAAATTAGAAGAGCAGGGAGTTGTTGATTGTTTGTTTTTGTTTCGAGGTACAAACATAATGACAATAATAAACACCATTCTAGTTAAGTAGGTATTAAGACCAACATCTAAATTCTATAAATCTTTACTCAATGGAAGGTCATTGGTAATCAGGCTAAGACCATACAACGCACAACTCTTTCAGAGCTCATTTAATCTCCGCTGCAAACCTGAGATTTGAACGCAGGATCTACAACATTGCTTGGCTCCGTGCTTTTAATTGCAGCGTAGCATGAACATCCCCAAAGCACCTGGCCTATTCCCGCATTGTAACTTTAGCAATAAACCCAAGCAGCTAAGGTCACGCACGGTACGATAATTGTGCAGTGCTTGTGTTTAGTTTGATTAAATAAGGAATATTTTGTCGTGCTGACATTATCACACGCGTGCAGGAGGGGTGACGATGCGCACACTCCGTGATGAGAAGTCCTTTGCAAAGTAGCACACATTTCACAGCATTTCACAGCAGTTTTATTTCATTGTTTATCAAAACATACATTATATTTGAATTTAAAAAAATCAGCCGTTACCCTTCGAAAATTCCACAGAAGCAGAGTATTTCCCCCCCAACACATCCTGAGGTAAACATTGCCAACGCTCTCTTTGCTGTAACATATAGGAGGTTACAATTAATTAAATTGTAAGCGATTATAATAATCGTCATACAACCCCCCAAGTGTAATAGCACAAAACATGGCAATAATGCTCCTTATATAACGTTTTGTGATGGTATGACCGACTTTATGGTCCGATGTCATTGTTTACCGTAAAACAACCCCCGAGTAGAGATATTTTGGTGTCTCTGATGGGAAGCCCGGTTGGAATTTGCTTGGGTGTGTGGTATTCTTCACGTATAGGGTATGATTTAGGTAGCATTGGGAGAGATTCCACAGATTTGTGATATTCAAAACACTACACCATAGGGCCCGTTGCATCTCCGACCAGCACCACCTAGCCAGTAAGTTGGAGCACGTACATCAAGCCCTCAGGATGAACGGATACTCGGACCGTACAATCCGCAAAGCTGTCTCCCCATCCATGCGGAGACAACCTTCTGAGGATCCAACCAAAATCATCGCTTTACCATACATAACAGGGGTTACCAAAAAGATTCGCAAAATCTTAAACAAACACAAGATCCAGGTTCGTTTCAATATGGTACACAAAATCCGTGATTTAATCCCATATGTAAAGGATGTGATTCCTGATATGCAATA